CTTAACAATGAATTTTCCACTAAACAAATTTTGCTCCAAGGGCAATAAATCCATGGTGGAATCAACTGACGATGCCTATTAGTTTAACAGAAACACCGCTATCCCATATCAAGATCTATCACATAATAGGGGACTTTCCTCTACATGTAATGAAATAATTATTACGTTTAGGTCTGAACGTTTGAAATATTTTCCCTTTACGTTATAAATTGTTAAATTATTTACAATCATTCGAGTTAAATAGTCATGACTGAAAAGAATATATGTATTTATCTCGAGTTGCCTATATTTAATACGATATTTACATGTATTTGAAACAGCTAATTTCTGTACGGATTGAGCACACACCTTTGGTAAATCATTAATACCGGACGAGTCGCGGGATCGTGTTCAATGTGAAGAAATGTAGGATCCGATCCTTGATGTAATGTCTTGATGTCAATGTATGTTTCGATTGTCGGTTTGTTATATGTATACACAAGGACAGTCTTGAAAGTAGCCCACACGTTACGTTAACAGACCAACACGAAGGTCCAAAGAACGCCTACAAGAATGTTAATTTATAAAAATGGTACCTTTTATTTTTGCAGTATCTTTACCGATACTCTTTAGATATTTGTCTCATTCGGATTTGATCCGTGCGTGTATTTTCTTTTAGCTATACTTTCTAGGATCTTATAAAATGGGACGAAGAATGTCCAATTTTTTGTTTAAAGGGAAAGAGTGTTGGAACAAAGCTGTCGAAAAATATAGAAAGTGTAACTAAATAAACTAGATCTTCCATTTCAGACCGGATTATGATCAGGTAAAAGTTATCGACACTGAAAAATCGACGGGATACAATACCTGGTAAGACGTTAAATCGAGCTTATATATGTGTAAATGTATCAACTCTGGCCTACATCAATTAGTAGATATAAAGATCTATATTTCTTACAAATACTGAAGTGCCAAAAAAAAAGATGAAAAAGAGAAAAAACAGAGGACGAATTTCACTCCCCCGTTCGTCGATTGACTGCGAAAGTACTCATGTACTTCATTGTTTCCAGTATGTGGTATAATGTAACTCGATGTGTTCGTGTTAATTATTTAAGAGTTTATCGAGTTAGTGTACATCAAAAAATAGACGGATTTATTTATTTGGAGATGAGAAAGGAGGTGCGAAATGGAGAAATCTTAGGGCGAAGCTCTCGCGTATCAGAGGTGACTGTTTATATTTCATCTGTGCGCGTGCGCGCATGTGAAGGTGAATGTATACGTGCGAATGTGTGGACCTCATTATCTTCTAATTAAAAGTACAAGTCAGTAAAAACAAATTTACAATTGCAAGCCAATAGAAGTGCCAATAAATTATTGCGTCATGAGGTTGCCATCTTTCTTTTCTTTATGCACCGTTTTTAGGAAAATCATTATTCCAATACCGGGAATCTGCTATAAATTTACAAACTTAACTGTGATGGACATTTAAGAATACAATTGTACTCCCAGAAATTAACTTTTCCCATAATATTTGATCAAATATTAAACTACATCATATATTAAATAAGGAATCTTTGATAACAAATAGTCTTTGATCAACAATTCCTTTGGACATAATTGCTTGTTTACTTGTTTCCTTCAATCGTTCAAGCACCGTCATGTAAATTGTAATGAGAAAAGTATCATAAAATTAATAATTGAAGAAAAATTCTAAAAGAGGATCATGTATCATTGCTTTATGATGATTTGATCGTTTAAAGACTTTGCAATCAATGTCGTACTGAATAATAATTTTAAAATATTTAATTTAAGATGAATTCGATGAGCCTGAGGCGTATTTAATAATATTGTGAATTATATAATTATATAAGCGTTTGATGAATGACGTTCTATTTTGATAGAAATGTGCAACATTGGTTGCCACAAGTCGATACCGCAAGTGATTTAAATTGACCATATAATAAACATACAACACACCTGACAATAATTACTTAATAATGAATCTCAAAATAACTGTATACGAGACCAACCGAAGTGTATATGTATAGTCATTAGTGTTTTGACATCCTTTATTGTGAAAATGCGAATTAATGCAACGGCCAAACAATTATTTCGATTCTGTGCGAACGCTGTGACTCGCGTGGCATTGTGGATTTTAATCAGTATTTAATTTGCTACGATATGTAAAAATGAGTTGACTCGAACGAAGAGGATACAAATTCATAAGTTCAGTAAAATGGCTATTGCATATATTGTGTTAAACGAATATTTACACAATTTCGACTTTTATGCCTTACTGCTATTTCGGTACATTCAAAACAGCCCTTTTTAGACAAAGAAATGTGGTATTTGCCGTTTTATGCAATTTCATGGTCTTTCCATTCTGCTATTCGCTAATTCTATTTAATGTACATACATATGTCAGTTGTAATATTAAAACTAGAATTTCGAATGCACTTGTTTATTGCATAAAAACGATACTTTTGCCAGAACGGTATTATCAGATTATATAAATTTTTATCAAATTAATACAAATCAAAATATATGTCTGTGTACGTTTATGAATGATATATAATCGCATGTAACTTCTCCAAGGAATTGAACTTCAAGCTCCACAATATGCAGACTGTAACAGACATCGCGAAAAGTGGAAAAACGTTATAGTAATTGTGTTCTTAATTATAATTTAAATGAACTATTATCAAGTTAAAAAATAAATAATACAAAGACGTTATTCTCGTATATAAAATACATAAATAATATTAAATAAAAAATGTTCTTAATTAAAAGCAGTTACGCATTGCAAATCATAATTTTAACGTAATACTTTCTCAAAATTTACTAAAACATATTAACATATACATTATATGCCTCTATACGGATAGTTATATATTTCCTTTTTTAAATGTTACAAGTTAATTATAACGTAAATCACCGCAACACAATAACGTCTTCTCCACGAGTGACTGATGTTACATTCTGTATACGCAAAATGTATACATATTTTAGTTAAACTTGCATTTGAGATGTGTATATTTTGTCCAAGCGACTCTCGACTCTTCGACGTTGAATTCACTTTCAATGTTGTCAGTGGCTAACGGCAAGTTACAAATTTCATTCGATCCTTGATTTATCTCCACGCTTCGCCACTTCGATCATTGTTATGTCTTGGTCAGCGTGACGTAATGATATTTTGGACGGAGAGTGCGAAGCGCATGTTTGCATTCTATTCTTTTTTGTACACGAGAATAGTCGTGGGTGTGTGCCTGCCCCGGAGAATGGAACGTGAGTCGTGATTTAGATAATTTCGGATTAACGTTTATTTGAAAGTTGTTAAACGCGCAAATGCTACGCGACATTGCGCGCTATACACAAAATACATTAACATATGTATATATGATATTATGTACAAATAACGATATTCGTTTAAAATAAAGTCGTTTACAAATATACTGACAACATTCCTACGCTCTAAGTTGTAATTGCACACACAATACAGAATATATTATATAATAGTACATAGAGGTATGTAGAATAGATTTCTCTCTCATGGTACATTGCATCCAAGACTGGACAATATTTTAAATACATGTGACATAAATCTTTAAAATTATCTTCTTATTTTATACATTCTAAACTATAGATGTAGATGTAAGACTGTCTATATCTCGTAAACTACATTTTCTGTTTAAAATCCCACGAGGATGTGGAGATTTATATTTCCATTCTGCATTTTGAATTTTGAGTATTGGAAAGAATATTTCTCAAGCAGCCGCGGTCACATTACCCTTTAATTTTTCGCGCGATTAATTGCATCCCGTCATTTATTTTTACGCTCTCGTTGTTGACTAGAAGCTTACGCAAACAAACCTATTAATAAAATTTTGATTTCGTGCGCGTAAAATCAACGTCACTTTCACTTGCCTTATACAAATGAGCGGAGTCAATAAAAAAAAGTGAGCGAATGTCTCCCACCTTTGAAGCGAATTAAATTCACACGCGGATCGCATTGTGAGTTTTCAATCGCTTTAGAAAAATCATTTGCATAGACCACTCTCTTGTCAGAGAGATGCTGTAGCCAAAGGCAAATCCTGTTCCTCACTGACAGGAGTCGATGGAGCAGTATTCGGCGTGGGTAGATCACCGCTGCCACGATCCGTCGTACCTGTCGTAGAAAATTGTTTTTGTGACATTTTTATGAAATTTTAATTTCACTTTATTTATTTCGTTATATTGAAAAAGTACGTAGATATGTGCATAAACCGAGAGTAATTCTTTTATCTTTTACTACAACAATTTGATGAAGTTGGCGACATTTAATTGATATTAATTTTATATAAGTACTTTATATAATTGATCTTTTCCATTAATGTATCAGCTGTTGCGGTATTAATAATGATACATGAGATGCATAATAGTCGAGGTTTAATTACTTATAAAATTCATAAGGCTCTGATGTGGAATCACAGATACGAAGTAATGAAAGATATAAGAGCCAAGACGGATGTTAGTGTCTAAATGATTTGAATTTTTTAAATTATTGCGCAAACTTTATCTCAGCCTGGGTTTGAACCTGGACCTCCCTCTCACTAGGGCGTCTCACCAATTCGACCACCGAGACATGTAAAGATCCGTGTTAAAATCCGTCTTAACTCTTATATCCTTCTTTACTTCGTATATATTAATTACTTGTGTGTTGTCTTACCTGTAAAAGAGTTGGAGCGGCTTCGATCCGGCCAGCATATCCTACAGAGGGGCTTCAACAATCGAAATCTCGGCCGTGGTATTCGCAAAAGTACGTAAATGTATGGATCGAGGGTAAAGTGAATGCACAAAAGAATGTCGGCTATGACGTGGAAGATTTTAATGCATTTCCGTGCTATCGCCTTTTCAGGTAACGGCAGCGCGAATTGAGCCAATGGAATAGAAATCTAGAGGAGGAAATAAAAAGAATTTCGCAATTTTTAGTGTCTGATAATTAAACTAATGAAAATAGATTTGATTATTGCAGATAGGATATTGTAAAGAAAAATTTTAAAGCAAGGAAATACATTTATGTATGCAACTGTCATTAAATATTTTTTTTACAAAACCTTTGTATAAATGAAATTAACGATGTACATGGTGGGTCTCTAATTTTATTGAAGAAAAATATTTGTTGAATCATCTCTATCTATTTTGCGAATCAATTTTCTCTACGCGTAAAATTTTCTATCACATAGCGAAACCGTCAACAGGATGAAATCAATTCGGAGACGATCAGAATATTGGCTCGCGGATGTCTCGATGGCTCGTACGTGAAACTATTTTCAAATATTCATCATTTATCCTTGTCGACCTTCGGTTTTAGCGGAAGCAAGCGTTATTTCTGTACTGGTTAAATGTAAGAAGTGTTAATGATTATAGTTTCCGGCAAGAACTTGGCTATAAGGCAATCAATTTATTTAAAAATAAAATTTAATTATTTAGCTTCTACGAAAATACTTGATATTGATACAGTCTTAATATTATTTACTTATTAGTAATCATATTATTATTTCCTGCTTTTTTTTCTTTTTCTATCAGTATTACTTGTAACTCAAAAATTATAGCAACAGTTTATATATTAATGTGCAGTAATTTTTTTTCATTACTTTATGTAAGTATCTTGACGAAAACTTTTTTTTCAGAAGAAAAATTTCTTCCTATGTAAAATTCAATCTGTCATCGAAACCTCATAACGTACATGAAAAGTATCACTTTGTCAAGAATTATTTCGTTATAGAAATCACTTCTATCATCTCAACATTATCAAGATTAAAATGAATGATTATGAACATCGAAATATAACAGGAAACATCGACTGAAACAATACTTTGCAAGCAAATCACGTGGATCACTATATCGATCCTAGCGTTACAATTGCAGAACGAATCTCTTGAACGAAAATTTCACAAGGTCATGGTATATAGCTGTTACGGAGTAATGAAAAAATATGTGAAAAGGAACTCGTATGTCAACCAAGGACTTTTCTCTTAACTACAAGAGAAGAAAATTGAAGACCATCCTTCATAGAAACGTGACCTTCTATCTTCATTCTGTGATCCGATGCGGTTTACTGTTTATACAGGGTGTCGGATTCGATTTGGACGACTCCAAAGATTATAGTAGATTGGGTCAAGCTGAGAGGAAAAGTTATAGGCCATTTTACAAAATCCGTAATTATTATCGCGTAATTAAGAAAAACATCTGAGCCAATAAGTGCACGGAGGAGCGGAAGGCCGGACTCGGCAGACATGCAAAATGGTGTATTTGTTGACATCTCTCAAGATCCGATAGCGAGAGGTGGAGTCACGCATCGATCGATAAGAGACGGGGGCGAACGGGGAGCGGTGAGCGGGTGAACGGCGCGCAGCGAGCGAACGCGCGACATATGACACCGCGCCGAAAACGTTTTTCTGGTGGTAGGAGAATAATACACCATTTTGCATGTCTGCCGAGTCCGGCCTTCAGCACCTCCGTTATTGGCTCAGACGTTTTTCTTAATTACGCGATAATAATTACGGATTTTGTAAAATGGCCTATAACTTTTCTTCTCAGCTTGACCCAATCTACTATAATCTTTGGAGTCGTCCAAATCGAATCCGACACTTTGTAGACATCGACCTTCATCTAGTTCAATTACTCAAAATCTTCAACCAATTCTTATTTCGTGTATACAACACATGAAAGATCGATTGAATTGGTTTTTCTTTTTTTGCCTTATTTAATTTCTTTCAAATTTTATGACAGATAAAATCTTTATGAAATGGAAGGATAGATTAATCGAATGTCTGATACATACATTCATATATATGTATGTATATGAAAGAAAGATAGAGAATTAGGAAATACTTTAAAAAAAAATTAATATTATTTTATCACATTAACTTCTGTCAAAGAAAATTTATTTTCTGTTATATATTATCTTATTACTGTATTTCTAATCATTACTTTACTTTCTGCATTTATGCTTATTATTTATATCGTATATTACTTTTTACACAATTTATCGTAAACTTACCATGTGAGGCATCCAGCAAATAACGAATGATATCGATAATACAGCCATAAGTCTCGCGAATGCTTTTTCCTCAGTTGTAGCAACCATTTCCGGTTGATTGGCTAGTCCGGCTACGGTTAGCAAAGGTTTTGCCTTCGACGAAGCTCTGGAGATTCTCCGAAGGGCAATTGTGCGTTGACTTAACTTACTTAAGGCTCTAAAAACCGCTAAGTTGCACCAGACAATGGATAAACACAAAAGAGTACCTATAATTTAAAAAAAAATTAAAATATTCATTAATCTGAAAATAATTCTTTTACAATTGGATCTTTTCGGTTAAACTAAAACATAATTGTAATTATATTGATAGTAACTATTTAATTACAGAAATGTTGATGTGTTTATAATTATCTACAACTCCGTCTTTCTCTTTTTATTATCCGCTCATCAACTCACCAAAAATGAACCATACATAAGCATAAGCGATATCTCTCAGCTCGGTGGCCTCTCGATAACGCTTGCATTGTTTGTCTTTATAATATAATCCGAAGCCCATAACCGGAAGACTGGTCATCGTCAACGCGACCAACCAAAGCGCTAACATACAACGCACAATTACCGGATACGTCACCTGCTGGAAGATACATGCGTGTCATCCATTAAGACATCGAGACTCGATGATGCAGACATCGACTGCTTGCTGAACTTTCGATTTACGATAACAAAGGAGCTGAGAAATACCTATCGACTTGGGCGTAATTTACTTTGCCACAAATTAACGAAAAAAGAATAGAAAAAAAATTGGTAAACTCTATTTACAAGTCTGCTTATAAACTTCTATTACTTTCAGTTTCTATTTGTAAATCTAAAGAAATTTTATCTTGCTCTTACAAAAGAAATTTATTAAAAGAATTACGTGCAATTTATTATGAATAAGAAATGCTATTATTAATTTGCACATTTAGTTTAAAAATTTTAAGCTCAATTCACTGATATTGAGTTTCAGACGTTTATCTGTACAGATTAGGAATTTTCTCTATATTTTCAAATAGTACTGTTGTAATAAATTATATACATCATAATATACACATAATTAAAATTATATTTTTTAGAAAAATCTAATTTTTTTATCAACGTATTTTATCTTATTATCAAATTGTTTCAGACTATTATCACAGATTTTATATTACCTTTTTCTTTATTAACCATTGAGATTTTTTTAAGTGAAATTATTAGATTCGATACTCCTAAGGGAAACTGTTCAATTTATTATCTCCCAATACTCGCGTAAATCGTTCTTACTTCCTCTATGTTACATGATCTGGATTTATGCGTTCACTAACTCTTTAGGGGCCTTTTGAAATAGATAGAAGAAAAACAAACCAAGAAAAAAGATAATCTTATTATCACAAAGGACAATGTGTTCAATTTTATCATGTACTGTTCCATGCGGTTCTCATGACACAGGACGAACAGGATAAGGTGAGAATATGGCTGATGTCCGGAGTTTTGATAAGTAAGTCAACTTTGATATGAGAGAGATAACATACATTCGTGTCGATACCTTCTTCTGACAAACTGCATTGTTTGGAACATCTCGAGAATAATGTTCCATGTAAAAGTTTTAAAGACAAAGATCGATACTCTTAAAATCGGCAACACCAGTATTTGTACCAAGATTGACCAGATATCAAGCTGACGCCTGATAAATCTATCAATTCTTCGTCTGCAGTTTTATATCATTTCATATTATTTGCATGATTTGCAAGTAAAGCGACATCACTGCAATCGAACTACATTGCAATTGAAAACATGACCTGTTTGTTAATCTTTTAAAATATTTAAGATTAATCTTTTAATCATGAATTAAAAAATTTAATAATCCGTTATTATATTTTAATGAAACAGTGTATAAATAATAGCGTGGACCGCAATTTAATGTCATTTCTGAGAATTCTCGAATTAGATGGGGTTTTCTCGGGAAAAACATGTGTATTTGATGAAGTACGTACGACGCAACTGTAGCAGTGATCATCTCCAATTACTTGCAATCTTAGATTCTGCGTCTGAAGATGATCGCGCTGTGTAAATTGACGTCAGCTTCTATCGCTCTGCGATCAATACTTCCTTAATTTGTGACCGTGAAATTATTCGAATTTATTAACTTGTCAGAACGGCATTTCAGGAACCTTAGTACTCCTGTATCAACACGCAGTTATAATTCACGTAAAAATAGATTTCGGACTCGTCGAGGAGGGACATTCTCCCTCCTTTTATTCCTTCTTTATCGTAAAATACGATCGTTCTATAAGCGTCCTTAGCTTTGGAGTGCCTCTGTGGCGCACGTGTATAAATTTTCTCACACGCGTTAATTTGTCCACATTCAACGAAATCATGTCGTGAATCATAACGTGTAATTTACTTTGGCAACACGCTTGGTGCATTGACTTTTGGTCCGTCAAAAGGGAAAGTAAAAAAGATTCCATTTCTCGAATGGATTAATACAGGAACACAACTTTTTATGTTCCTTATTTACTTTACGTAAAACAATTAATTAATTAATTTCTTTTCTATTAATAGTTACTTGCAATTACCAATTACAGTGATTACTGTGTTATCTTAAACTTACAATTAGGCTTACCTTTTGATAAACGAAAGGTCTAGTCAAAGCTAACCATCTCTCCACGGCCATGACGATGGCGACGCAGCCGCTGAAGAGACCGAAAAGTCGCCAGACTACCCGCAGGGAGCAAAATACTCTAGTGGATGACACACCGTCCGCATAAATTGTTACATACATCTGTACCAACATCCCCAATAATGCCACGAGATCGTTGGTTGCCAGACAACGCAGCATCAACAAGTGCTTGCGGTTTCTTCTCTGAAATGAGACAAATTTGATATAGCGTCATTCTGTTACGTTTCACTATGAGGCGAGCAACGAACATTTTCCCTAAAACAATATTAAGTTGACAAAAACCATTACGTTGAACAATTAAATTAAAAAATTTATTTATAAAAGATTGAACTATTTGTACTTATTTGTTAATTAAAAGATAATTTAACATAATTTGAATTTATTGAAAACTGTTGTACGAATAATCATAAAATTTTGTAATAGGTATTAGAAGACATTTAATTTCCTGTCGGTAGAACAAGTTTGAATCGATCGTCGGACTTAATATACTTATACATATGTATAGAATATGTGCATATGTTAGTAATTAATCAATTACTAAACGTCTTACGATTATTCGTTTAATTAGTTTCATTAATTAGAGAAAAGCATTTTCGTTTTTTCTATGTAATTAACATTTCTTGGATTTAAATTCAATTGCATTATTCTTAAAGAAGTCCTATTTAATATAATGTATTTTAAGAACTTGACTTTCTCTAGTTAAGATAACAAAAATATATAAAGTTTTTTTGTGTACACTTTTAAGGAATAATTTAATCAATGCAATAAGTCATTCTTTACTAGACACATTGCAATATTAATCGAAAGAAAAAAAATTGTTGCGAAAAATAGCATTTTATTTTATGTAATAAGTAACTTCTGACCAACACTCCTTTCATTAGTGAAAAATTATTACAATTTTTACAAACAGTTATTACAATTTTTTACAAAAATATATCATTTCCGGATTATATATTAATTATTTCCGGAAATATAATGACTCTCGATAGTTTAAAAACCGAAATTAATAAAAGCATAAGAGTGTGATAATAAGAGCTCGTGTGTTGAAATATCGTTGATATTGTATGTTTAATTTACTTTCATGATACAATTAACGCAATACAATAAACGGACCTTTCGGCTCTGCTTTGAGTCATCTTCGGCGTTAAATAAATTAAATTATGACTCTCACGTTCTGTCCCGTTCGATGCGACCGGTTAATCTCAAAGTGCTCATCATCGAACGTGAGAAACATATCTTAATTTATTTAACAAGATGACTCAAAGCGGAGCCGTAACGTCCGTTTATTGTGTTGTGTTGTATCGTGAAACTAAATTAAACGTACAGGAAAGGCCTCTATTATGAGATAGGATTCTAATGTGAGATAGTAGACTTTCAACGTCCAAATTCAATCAAAAATCTTTTTTCGCAACAATTACACGATCTAATAACCACTAAACAGATTTTACTCGAAGGGCAATGAATTCATGGTGGAACCAACAAGTGATGCCTATTAATTTAACAAAAACCTCACTATCTCATATTAGGAGTCTACGTCATAATAGAGAAGTTTCCTCTACTAATGATATTTTAACACACGATCAACCGTGTTGTGCTTTCATGCCCTTATCAATTTCGATTTATTAATCGTCATATTACAATAATTACATTACAAAAATTATATTAATCTACGTAAGCTTATAAATGATCATATTTCCGTGACTTACCTTGTCCCGATGGAAAAGGATCACCAGGGCAGACACGTTACCAATGACACCGGTTATGTAGACGAGGGTTAATATAAGCTGAGACGCTAATGTCACATGTCTTGTCCGTGCCACATTTGTTCCTATATTAGTTATCGCTGTTTTATTGGACACAAAAGTTGACAAAGTGTTGTTCGCCAACATAATTGCGATATGTAGAATTCCACCTATTATTTGTTTCCTCGATTTCGTTGAAGAACTTATCTCAACGTGACGTAAAGTGCTAATCTAATAACGTATACTGCCCGGAATACAATCGCAATGGCCTGACCTTACAATTTGCCAACTGACTCAACTATTATCCAATATAAATTATGTTTGTTGTTTCTCTGTAATATGCTGATATTAATTCCCACTTTCCTCATACGTGATTATTTCTGTTCAGTTTGAAATAGTAGCGTCGATCGTATTTTGATCATTTGGTATACAGTTTTTTCAAAGTTCCATCCAGATTAGCACAATGGATCCAAAGAAAATGGGTAGAAATTTCTCCTATATCATCTACAAAACGCATTACATTACACGTACGTTTATGCAGTCTCAGTTCGTTGCACTTTGGTCTCCGTTTCTAGAAGGTACACGACTCTTTGTTGATATTTGTGTAAATAATTCTTACAATATCCTTTTGCAATAAGCAGCAAAGATTTCAAGGGGAATAACTAAAACAGATTAACAAGACATATCTGCAGAGGTATAATAATTTATAATAGTGTGACTAATTGCAGAGGATGATAATTGAAAAATAATTAACGACAAAGATAATTGATTGTGGAGAGAAGATTAAAATTGAGAAGGCTTTGAATTATGGACATCGAAAAACTTTTTAATAATAATGATTTATAATATGGTATAGAGATTTTAAAGTTTATTAACCACAAAGCTATTAAACAATCTAGAGATTACAAAAACTTTAAGTATTTAAGAAAGTTATTTCTAATAGTTTTATAATATTTTATAGTGAAGTGTTTACTCACAGCGTAAAAATTTCAAACCGTCGCGTTCACAGCCAATTTACGCAATTAATTTTACAAAACAGTTATAAAAAAAATCATAAAATATTTCGAGATTTTATAATTTCTTGAATTTTTTGTACTATTTTGTACTGTTTCGAACGCTGAGGAAATTATAAGTTTAGTGAATCGCAACGGTCTTTATGTAAGTTTAAATCCTCGAAACTCGTCCAATTGTTCGTCTTATTTGAGATTCCTCAAGATAATCTTCCACGATTTCGTTTAAATCGTTGTCTATTAATCAGAACTTTTAATCCGATTTTTTTAATCGACAAGCAACACCAATCACCCGTCGCGCTCTTCTCGTCACAAAAGAAATCCTGGAGAGTCAACGATCGACGACACGAACTTGCGAATCTTTCGATTAAAAATAAATCGGGAATAAAAAATTTAGAAGATATCAAGAGATTCCTTCAACAAGAGGAGTCGCCGCTTGACTGATCAAATCCATGAAGTAGGATCCAGTTTTGTTTACTCCCAGAGACCGGCTTGATCGTATTGGCGCCTGCGCGAAGTTTTCAGGAGTAATCGTCGAGGAGTCATCCATCATTTATTAATAAAATTCATCACTGACAAGAGTACACAATTCCATTCAATTATCCCAAGCACCGTTTCCGTTTAATAAATGTTTAAAAATGTTTAGTTGATACGTTTATGGTATACAAATGTGCATTTATTAAACTGTCGCATATTATGTCGTTTATTAAATGTCTCATATAAAACTGGCGTTTTAAACTAATTAAAAAACGAAAGCTAGTTAAACCAGTTAAACTATTAAAAGAACTTTTCAATTAATACTTTGAATATACACATATCTAAAAGCCTCGATAATATAAATTAAATATCCATTTAAAGTTCTTTAGATTTTAAAATATGCCGACGATTTTTAAACAAAATTTAGTTTACTCGTTTCATTTACCACACCTCATTAGTTAATGAAATATTTATATGTATTTTTATTTTTCATTACTGTATCGTACATATCTATATGTATAATTAAAAACTTTATACACAAATTTAAACACTTTTTGAAGAATTTCATATAATATAATCAAACATTTCATTCGTATATCATAACTTTTTATGTATCCATTACAATTACGTGTGAAAAAATGGAATTGTCTAAACATGATTTTGTAAAAACGATTTTATGAAACATTTTAATTTTTTTAACTTTGACGTTTAAAATTAATATTTAATGTTTACTATACATATTTTGAGCATAAATGTATTATTGTACTTAAGATCATTACACAATTATTTTCACGAATTTGTTTGAATGGATACAATTTTTTAGAAATTATAAAATATGCAATTATTTGATTGAAAACGATCAGGAATAAAAGTTTCATTTTATTTGACAGCAGCTAACAAGATTAAAATCACTCGGGTGAGGGCAGTTTGCTTTTCGGTGTCTCGCAAATGAATTCACGCAAACTCCAATTCGTTGGCATGCGAATAATTATGAATAATGCATACATTATTCATAATTGGTACAGGTACTTTTTTGTATACAAGACAGGGCACTGGCCAATAAATAATTTCAAGCACGGGAACGATAATGCGCTAAACAAACGCCCTGCTCCTTTAAAAATGCAGAACGCAATGAAACACCTTCCTAGCAAAGAATGGCAATAAACTATGCGGTGGATTTGTCAAGATCTGGATACAATCCAATGATTGTGGTAACAATAGAAATCTATCTAGTTTCGATTATCAGTCCAGAATTAATCAACGAATTGTCGTAGAAGAATTCTTGGGCAAAATGTTTGTTAAATAATTCGACAAATAAATAAAAATTGCAGGCTAACTGTATATAATTATGTTTTTGTGCGCAAGTCCGAGTTAACTCGGGCAAGCGGTTCTACCCCGTACAGCACAGGTAGATTCTGAGTATACATATACGCAGTATATCGCAAACGTAGATTGTGTATATCCCATTCGAAATACGTACCACGATATTTTGAGAATGTACGGAGGATGCTTCTATGTCTGCTCTAGAAGCCTACTCAGTATATACTGAGAATATTTCTTGGTATATCATAAGTATATTAATAAAATATTTTGATCACATAATTAATTGCCTGGTCAGGTTTTCCTTATCAAGACCTCATGACTTGCCCTTTGTTACGCCTTATAATTTCTAATAAAAGGGTAGTGGGGCATCCGTAGGCTTTCTATTAAAAATATTTAATTTTATAACCTAATTTTAAAGTGTGTTAAATTGTGTAATTATCAAAAGTATATTCAGGTCATTGAAGTTTATCCATGATCCAGAAAACCGACTGTCATATCACATCGGCTCGCCTCTTATACTAATGCAGAATAATTTTTACTTACGAGAAAGGCTAACACGCAGTCGCCACGTCGCGGCAGTGAGTGGTTACTAGTACTACATGTTCTAAAAATATACGAGAATATGCGAAAAATAATATACTACTAAAAATGTTATAGGGATGATCTCGGTATGTTAAATACAGTACGTTTTACAGTATAGTTTTAGAATATACGTAACAATATATTCTAATAAAATACTATCTACAGGGTGTCGGATTCGATTTGGACCACTCCAAAGATTATAGTAGATTGGGTCAAACTGTGAAGAAAAGTTATATACCATTTTACAAAATTCGTAATTATTATCGCGTAATTAAGAAAAACGTCTGAGCCAATAAGTGCACGGAGGAGCGGAAGGCCGGACTCGGCAGACATGCAAAATGGTGTATTTGTTGACATCTCTCAAGATCCGATAGCGAGAGGTGGAGTCACGCATCGATCGATGAGAGACGGGGGCGAACGGGGAGCGGTAAGCGGGTGAACGGCGCGCAGCGAGCGAACGCGCGACATATGACACCGCGCCGAAAAAGTTTTTCTGGCGGTAGGAGAATAATACACCATTTTGCATGTCTGCCGAGTCCGGCCTTCAGCACCTCCGTTATTGGCTCAGACGTTTTTCTTAATTACGCGATAATAATTACGAATTTTGTAAAATGGTATATAACTTTTCTTCACAGTTTGACCCAATCTACTATAATCTTTGGAGTGGTCCAAATCGAATCCGACACCCTGTATATACGAGAAATAATATATTGTAAAAGATGTTCTGAAAACATAATATACAAAAACTGATATACTACAGGAGATATGTAAATTGTTCTGTTTTATTTACAACTTTTTATTACTTTTATTTATTAATCAAATTTATAAAAAAAAATATTTTATTTAATCCTAATTATATCCGTCTGTTTAATTTTATAAGTTTTTGTTATCTTATATTAGTTTATTACTCTCTTATTATTACAATACTTATATAATGTTTCTAAATTTTGGGGTTTACCAGAAATACATCTATGACGTACAATCTTTGACATATTGTTGAAACATAGGTCATTATGTTATCTCCATGCTACTCATGTAGTGATTATGAACTAAATATGCATATTACACGAGATCTCACAGCTTATGAAAATACTATGCGGTAGGAGCCAGTATAAACAGTTATTATTTATATTGTGAAGTGTTGATCAGTTTATCGATGTTGTCACAAAGATTTTAGCGTCTGCTTCAGCCAATGTAAATAATTTTTCAATAAAAAAGATTAATGACATAATGAATGTACTTTTATCTGTAAGGCGATTAGTATTTGTACATTTAAAAAATTTACGCTATTATAGCTAATCATAATTTGCTAAAAATAGTTTATTACAGTAACTATAAATTTCTAAAAACCATAGTAAACGTTTTGCTGTCGCGCTTAATACAATAGGCACAGTAGCAAAGTATTAGCGGTCACAACTAAATATTATATTAGCTGTACATATTTTACAACTGAAATTTAGTTACCACATGCAGTTTTTAGCTACGACAGATATATTTTTTTCGTGTAATTACAATTAAACTTTTTCTTATGTATATTACATTATATTAATATAATTCTGAAAGAGATATATAAAACATTAAGCAACTTACGAGTGAAAATAAAATAAATAAATATTTCTTGACGTAAGATTTTTACTAAAAATAGTTAAATATGCAATAAATAAATAATTAGAAAATTTTATATGAAATATCGCTATAAAAAATGTCTGATATGAAATCATAAATAATAATAACAAAAAATATAAACGTTGTTAAAAATACTTCTACAGGCATGTAACTTGTTCTTCTTGTTGTAATGCAATGCTTTTCTTATACAATCGTTAACAATTTGTCATGACACATGTGTCGGCAGTATCGAACGAACCATGGCATCTGTATTCTAGCGAGTCAGAATGTACTGCTTAAAACGAAGGTTTATCTTTACATGGTATGCCATAAACATACAATGGTCGATACTAAAGCTAACGAGGAAATTAATTTAAATAATGCAGTTGCGATCGGTGCCATTCTTGCATAGCAATCATTCAAAGTGCGATGAACACAACTTTACGATCTCGCAAAATAATTTTTGTCTTCTGCCACTGGCACAACAACCAATATAACAACACTATTTATTTATTAATGCAATAAGGAAATGGTAACTATATAAAATTCATAATGTTTAATTGTTATGGAAAAGATATTTTTGAAAAATTCTTTATTCTTTATCTTACGATTATCGCAGAATAAAATAAATTATAAAAGATAAACTCAAATTAAATCGTTATTTATTAGATCAGGTAATAAATAATTAGCTCAGAACCCGAACAGGGTGGTAGTGTCCATTAATTATTTTTAATTGTAAAATTATATAGTATACGTTTCGGTCTTAACTAGACCATCTAGTTATTTATTAGACTACAGCGTTGAACATCATTACAATAAATATAACAATATGCATAAATATTAAAACATAAGAAGCAAATAAAACAAATTCTTAATAATAACAGTTATATAAATTAACTTCGTCTAAGATTTTGTTGTTCGCGTGAAGAAACTTTCTCTGTAGATACATTGGTGGGCTTTCAGGATTCATAGCAGAAACAAAATTAGGCGTGCCCGATGTTTAGTTAGGGTCTGGTAGAAGAAAAGTAAGATAAAGAATTCCTGATTCGGTACACTACAGGACTCTTTTCAAATATTTTTGGGAGTGGGAGGGATTTACTTGGTGTTCCTTATTATAGTGGAGGAGAAGAAGGGGGTGGAGGGTCCTCGGTCTGACGGCAGGGACTAGCATAGAGGGGAGAAGAGGGAGGAGAAGAGTTGCCGTTTTGCTCCTTTTGCGCGGCTATTAAACGCGCGCGCCGATTTCTGCGATTCCTCCGATTCCGCACCGCGTTTCGCGACCTCCACTTGGGTGTTGGGCGTGGATCCCGTGAGTCCACTAAAATGAATTGAGTTAGGAAGGTTGGCTAGACTCTCTCTCTAAATTTGTAAAAGGGTAGCTTCAGGTGAAAGGATGGACATACTCGAATCGTACCGAATTCACACAAAGGTGAGTCCAGAGGCACGCAACGAATTTGTAAGAA